AACTGGATTTCCATATGTAGAAAAATAAAATTAGATCTCATTTCTAATCCTGCACAAAAGTCAAATCAAGAGGATCAAAGACCTATTAATGATGCCAAAAACTTTGCAAATACTAGAGGAAGCATAGGTTCAACACTAAAACATACTGGAACTGACATTACATCATCTGGAAAACTCCCAAAGCTGAAGAAATTAAACCAAGAATCCATAAGTAGGAGAGCTTCAAATAAAAAGGCATTCACATAGCAAAGTAAAAAAAAAATGAAATCCTAAAGGCATTGCCTACAGAATGGGAGAAGAACACTGCCCACTATTTTATGAGGTTTATTATTGATTTAATTGGGATAAAAGTCAAAAAGGGAAAGATGAAAACACAGAAAGGCAGATGTTGCCCAGCTACCTAGACAAAATGGATGTAAACCTTTTGAACTCTCTGTGTGTGTACTTCTCTTTTTGAAAAAGGTTTATTTAGGAAAGCAGGTACATTATCAAGAGGGAAGCTGGGCAATATCAAAAGGGACTTCTTTGGGGTGTAGCAAGAAATTAGCATTTGGGGAAGAATGCAGTCTATGTCCAGAGAGGCAGCCTCTGTTCTCATGCTTCTTAACATAAATAAAGAGAAGAATTCCCATAACCACAGTATGTGGAACATGACCTGAGTCTGGAACCTAATACATATTTGCTCATTAGGATTGCTTTGCACATGGAAGCATTCAGCTATTAAGTAAATAGTGAGTCTAGTGATTAATAAAATTGTCAAAGTCCCTGCAGCATTGGAATGACATGAAACTCTGAAATGTGTCTTAGACCAAGCTTCATCACTTCCTTTTCTACCAAACTTCCTTTTCCTAGTCTCCTGGAAATATCTACCTCTGTTTTTGGATAATTGAATGTTCTAGATTCTGTTAAGTGTAAGTATAGGTAGGGCTCATGAATCCATGATACAAACCCAAAGAGAGCTATTCCATCTTGCCTCCTGTTCTATGCCACATTCCTAAGAAGGTATGAATGCACAGACAGGAAAACACCAACATTGGAGGCTGGCGTTGTGGCTCAGTTGTGGAACACTTGCCCAGCATAAGTGAGGCATTGGGTTCAACTCTTGGTACTGTATATAAATAAAAAAGATAAAGGTCCAAAAATATAAAATTTTAAAAAACACCAACTTTGTTGAAACCACAGTTATTATGCCTGGGAAATAAAGAGAAGAAGCATCTATTCAATGTTTAACACGTATTTATTTTTTTCCTCTGTGCCAAATACAGTATAAGCTCTGAGGATTCAGAAATGAAAGAGAGTTGTTCATTTCTCTCCAAATACACAACATATACTTACACAAGGGCAATAGAAAATGCAACTATATGGATATACAAAAACAATGATTTCAGATCACAAGATATTTTAAATGAATACTATGGAGACTAACTTTATCATATTAATAATAACTACCTAACATGTACTTGCCAATATTCTATAACTGTATTGATATTTGTCTGGTTTCCTACAATTGTATCAACTAGATATCAAATGGATGGCAATGTTGAGTATCAGAGACACTAACAATCTGCCCTCCATTCAAGAAAGAATGAGTCCAGCCAACAGCAGCCAAAATCAAAATTCTTGTTTTCATTTTTATCCCCTCCTCCTTATTTTGGATTAGCTTCCCCATATCAGAGAAAACATTCAATGTTTGACTTTTGGGGACTGTCATATCATTTAGTGTGATAGCCACAAATTCCACCCATTAGTCACAGTGCCATAATGTTTTTCTTTTTATGATTGGTTAATATTCCATTGTATATATAGACCACATTTTCTTGATCCATTCATCTGTGGAAGGGCACCTACATTTGTTACATAGCTTGCTATTGTGAATTGTGCTACTATAAGTATTGAGGTGGCTGCATCACTGTAATATGCTGATTTTAAATATTATGGCTATATACCAAGGAGTGGAGTAGCAGGGTCATATGGTGGTTCCATTCCTGGTTTTGTGGGGAATTTCCATACTGCTTTCTAAAGTAGTTGCACTAATTTTTAGTCCAAATAGCAGCATATGAGTGTACCCTTTTCCCCACATCCTTGATGATATTTATTATTATTTGTATTCTTGATTATTGCCATTCTGATGGGAGTGAGATGAAATCCCAATGTAGTTTTAATTTGCATTTCTCTAATTGCTAGAGATGTTGACCATTTTTTCATCAATTTGCTGACCATTTGTATATCTTTTTTGAGAAGTATCCATTTACTTCTTTATTTTTTCCCTTTGGTTAGGAGAGATTTTTATTTTATTTTTATTCTTTTTAGACATACATGACAGTAGAGTTCATTTGGACATATTATATCTACATATAGTATAACGTATTCCAATTAGGATCCCATTCTTGTGATTTTACATGATGCCAGGTTCCACTGGTTGTGTATTCACATATGAACATAGGAAAGATGTCCAATTCATTCTGCTGTCTGTCCTATTACTACACTCCTCCCTTCCCTTCATCCCCCTTGGTCTAAACCACTGAATTTGTATTCTTCCCCCACATTTGTTGTGTGTTAGCATCCACATATCAGACAGAACATTCAACTATGTTTTGTTCCCCCCACTTATTGATTGGGTTATTTGGTTTTTGGGGTGTTAAGTTTGTTGAATTCTTTGTATATATTTTGAATATACTTTGAATTCATTGTATATATTAATGTTCTATAGGAGCAGGTGGTAAAGATTTTCTCCTGTACTGTGTCTCTTCCTTCTCTTATTTCCTTTCCTGTGAAGAAGTTTTTAATTTGATGCCATCCAACTTACTGTTTTTTTTTTTTTATTTTATTTCTTGTGTTTGCAAGTCTAGCTATGGAAGTTGGTTCCTATAGCAACACATTGAAGTGTTGGGTCTACCTTTTTTTCTAGCAATTTCAGGGTTTTGGGTCTAATTCCTAGGTCTTTGATCCATGTTGAGTTGGCTTTTGTGCAGAGTGAGAAATATGGGTTAAATTTAATTCTTCTACATATGTATTTCCAGGTTTCCCAGACCATTTGTTGAAGAGGCTACCTTTTCTCCAATGTATATTTCTGGCAGCCATCTGTCTAGTGTCTGACAACTGTTTTGTGTTGTTGTTGTTTTGCTTTTGGTTGGTTTGGCTCTGTGTCTTCTGTTCTTTTCCATTGGTCATCATGCCTGTTGTGATGCCAGTACCATACTGTTTTTGTTACTTTAGCTCTATAGCATAATGAGTTCTGGTATTGTGATGTGTCTTGCTTTGCTTTTCTTACTAGTAATTGTTTTGACTATTCAGGGTCTCCTATTTTTCCAAATGTACTTCATAACTGTTCTTTTTTAGTTCTGTGAAGAATATCATTAGAATTTTGAATCTGTAGAGTGATTTTGGTGGTACAGCCATTTTGCCTATATTAATTCTGCCTATCCAAGAGCATGGTAGGTCTTTTCATCTTCTCAGGTCTTCCTGAATTTCTTGAGTGTTCTATAGTTTTCACAAGATTATCTCAATATATGCAGAAAAAGCATTTGACAAAGTTCAGGACCCCTTCATGTTTAAAATACTAGAATAACTGGGGATAGAAGGAACTTACCTCAACATGAAGACCATAAATGACAAAATATGACCAACATCATACCAAACAGAGAAAAGCTGAAAGTGTTTCCTCTAAAAACAGAACAAGACAAGGATTCCAACTTTCACAACTCCTGTTTAACACCGTCCTTGAAACTCTTGCCAGAGCAATCAGACATGACAAAAAAAAATTAAAGGGATATGCATGGGCTCTCTCTCTTCCAGCAAGGAGGTCCATGGAACAGGGGATAGGAGAGTATGGCTGCATAGTTGCTAATCAAGACCTCTGGAGACCAAGCAGGAAGCAAGTCTGATTTTATTGTGCAGTTACCATGTATATATACTCAGGCAGTAGCTAAGCAGTTTACAGGCACCCACCAATGCAATTTCTTCTAACTGTGCTTGCAGCAACCAATTGAGGAGTGGGCCATGGAGCAAGCACAGGGACTGCAACACACAGCCTCATGCCCAGGACTGTGCCTATGGGGTAAGCAGCCTGTCGCTCATCCATCTAGCACAAAGGAAGTGGCCTGCCACTCTGATGCCCTTAATGTATGCCATGTATGCAGTATTCCATGCACTTGTCCCCACAGGGATATAAACAGGAAAAGAAGAGCACAGATTATCTATTCACTGATGATATGTTCCTATAATTAGAAGACCAAAAAGCTCCAAAAGAAAGTTTCTAGAGCTCATAAATGAATTCAGCAAGGTAACATGATACAAGAACAACTCTCATAAATCAATCACATTTCTATATTTCAATGACAAATCTTCTGAGAAAGAAATTAGAAAAACTATCCCATTCACAATAGCCTAAAAACAATAAATTGCAAATCAGTGAATTCAAAAGAATTGAAGGACCTTTGCAATGAAAACTTTAAAACACTAATATTATTTTTTTTTTACTAGGGATTGAACACAGGGGCCCTTACTCAGTGAGCAACATCCCAGCTCATTTGGTATTTTATTTAGAGACAGGATCTTACTGAGTTGCTTAAGGCCTCGCTAAATTGCTGAGACTGTCTTTGAACTCTCCACCCTCCTGCCTCAGCCTCCTGAGCCTCTGGAATTACAGGCATGCACCACAGTAACCAGCAACTTTTTAATTTCATACTCATTGGCTTCGTGAGTACACTTTTAATATGTGGTGTGTAAATAAAAAGAAGTTACAAATTTCACCATTGTGAAGTGCATAGTGTAGTGGCATTTATTGTTATTTGTTTTCTTGTGAAACTAACTACTATCCATCTCCAAAATTTGTCATCTTAATGCAGTGAAATCTTGATACCTAACATAGGCTGAAACCATTATACTATAAAACATGGTGAGAAACTAAAACTATTTATGTTATGAAGAGGCACATTAGCAGGGCAAACCGTTTAGCTTTGCTGAATTTTCCAAGATATTGCAACTGAACAACACAGTTGCTAAGAGTGGAAAATTTGGCTGTGGAGTCTCCTAAGAGCATTTTTAATGTCCCTGTTCCTCAGGCTGTAGATGAAGGGGTTCAGCATGGGGGTGACAACAGTGTACATCACTGAGGCTACTGCACCCTTTCTGGGAGAATGTGATACAGCTGAACTCAAGTACACTCCAACAACTGTTCCATAAAATAAGCAAACAACTGCCAGGTGAGAGCCACAGGTGGAGAAAACTTTGTACTTCCCACCTGAGGATGGGATCCTCAGAATGGAGGCAATTATCTTATAGTAAGAGAAAAAGATCCCTGAGATAGGGAAAAGGCCATATATGGCAGCAAGAAAATACTTGACAATGTTATCAGAGAAGTTATCAGAACAGGAAAGATTCAGAAGTTGAGAAGGGTCACAGAAGAAACTGGAAATTTTCACATCCTTGAAGCTGGTAATTTGTAAGATCATCAAATTGTGCAGCTGAGAGTCCAAAAGACTCAGCAAAAATGATACCAAAGTTAAGAAGCCACAGAGACGAGGGTTCATAATGACTGTATAATGCAGGGGGTGACAGATGGCCACAAACCGGTCATAAGCCATCACAGTCAGAAGCATGTCATCCATACATACAAAAATGCCAAAAAGAGACATTTGTGTTAGGCAGCCAGTGTAGGAAATGACTCTGTTGTGAGTTTGGATGTTCATGAGCATCTTTGGGACTGTGGTCGAGATGAAACCAATGTCCACAAAAGACAGGTTGGAAAGGAAGAAGTACATGGGGGTGTGGAGGTGGGAGTCAGAACTGACGGCCAGGATGATAAGCAGGTTTCCAAGCACTGTGACCAGGTACATGGACAGGAACAATCCAAACAGGATGGGCTGCAGGTCTGGGTCCTCTGAAAGGCTCATGAGTTGGAATTCTGAGACACGTGTTAGATTTTGTGCTACTACATTGCTTGAACACCTTTTAAAAAATCAAAGAATGTGAGAATTAAGAAACGTGTACCAAGCACCCCTCCATCTGTACATATTTGCATGGAAGTATTCACAAAATTATACACACATGAATACTGTGCATCAATAATGATTCTCAGGCGTGTAACACACAGTCTTTGTACACTCTTCCTTCACATTCTGCATTATTTACCCCTCTTCCATATCCGCTTGAGAGACATTGGTCTGAACAATGTTAGAAGTCTTGGAGCAGTGGAAAAACAAGTTCATGATCACAACAAAATATTGCATAC